ATTTACACCTCGCTATGAACACACCTTCTTTTATACGTCTTGACACCATACAAGCTAGCTAAGTAGCTACTATGTACAATTCTTCTGTCTCTTATACACTATTTTTGTTGTGATACAGTTAGTTGTGATGTGCATGTTACATGTTTACATTAAAGATGTATTATTGTTATTTTATTCTTTTTTTATTTAATACATTCATAGCTATTTAAGTTCCAGTAAGCTTTTGTTATTTTCTACACTCTTTTTGTATCAACCTTTATCAAGTTAGCTACCATGGAATTATCATTACTGTAGGCGAGAGTTAAGAAGTCCTCTGAGCCAGAGCGAATGCAGCAATGTTGGTATGTTGCCGCGCGGTATTTGCAGGTGCACCACCCTCTCTCACCACGGGCGAGTGACATTTCACAGTGTGACTCATGTCGAATACTTGTCACATCGACAACAGATGAGTAATACAGTGACAATCGCTTGAGTTGCTTCAGTGCACCACAAGTATTCTTACGGTGAGGGTGTTTTGCAATTTACTGTTATGGAAGACGTTAGGAAATGTGGGGCAACAATTCACAGTGTGGAAAGAAACTTAATTCGTAGAGTGGTTGAAGTTTGTGATAAAGAATGTAGTGACAGAGCTTTATCAGTTTTGATCAAAAAAGCGACAGAACGTGCGACAAATTATTGCAAAGTGTCAAAAAAAAAAAAAAACAATTGTACGAGTTCGGAAAGCGGGAAAATTAACTCCCGATGAAAAACTAAACACTCCAGGGAAAAAACAAAAAAGAGCAGACCACCACAAAGTGCAGTTAGACGGGTTTGATAGGCGGGTAATAGTTGATTGCACAAAAGACTTTTACGCCAACAAAAAAAAATCATGCCCACGTGTAAAAAATTACTCCCTATTTTGAGAGAAAAAAAATCAACTTTAGTTGGAGAGAATGGACGCTTAGACGAGTTCTTAAAGACACGGGTTTTAGGTGGAGAAAATGCGGCTAAAAGAGAAAATTGTTGATTGAAAGGCCCGACATTGTTAACTGGAGGTTCAAGTATTAAGGGAGATTAAAGAAATTAGAGAAGAAAAAAGAAAAAAAATATTTTATCTAGACGAAACGTGGATAGATAGCAATTTGACTTTCCAAAAATGTTGGCAAAGTGTTGATGTGGATGGTGTGTTACCTGATCTTAATGCCTCCGCCTGATTGTTGTGGACATAGGATCCGAGGAAGGGTTTTTACCAGGAGGGCGCCTTATTTATAAGGCAAACACTGCTAAGGGTGATTATCATGGCCAAATAAATTTTACAAACTTTGGAAAGTGGATAAGAGAATGTGTGATGCCAAATTTACCTCCCGCCTCTGTGGTTGTCATTGATAATGCTCCCTATCACCAGAAACAAGAGGACAAAGTACTAACGAAGACGGCTACAAAACCAGTGATGATTGAGTGGTTGTCAAGACATGGCGAAAACTACGATGAAAGAACGACAAGAAAAGTGGAACTATTCAAAGCTATTCAAAGGTTAAAGCCACCAACTAAAGTTTACAAAATTGATAAGCTAGCTACTACAACCAGAAGGTCACACTGTTTTGAGACTTCTACCCTACATGTGCGACTTGAATGCTGTGGAATTCGTCTGGGCAAAGGTTAAGCAGCACGTCCGATCCAGAAATTCAACAGGTAAATTCCATAGTTTATTTTACTAATTTGGAAATTATGTAAATTGACTAATTTAATTTTTTCACTACTTTATTGAGATAAAATATAAAACACTTGGCATTTTTTTTACTAAAACAATTGCTTCCGAATGAAAAGTGCCAGTATTAGACATTTTTCAACATTCCATAATAAACTGTATTGAACTGTATCACAATTACTAAGAAAAGACCCGGTATCTATCATAAACATAAACAAATGAAGTTTTTGGCCCGAAAGTAAACAAAGCTATATGTTAATTAATGCTAGATTTACATTTCTTAGTAAAATTACAATTCCACCCTTTTTAAAGCATAACTTGTGAGACATAACCACTTGGTGCTAAAGTGTGGAGAAATTCATCAGGGGCATGTAACCGGTCTCCCTCTTCTTGAATCAAAGTGTCCACTGAGTAGTAAACTCTACCTTAATTATTTAGTTGCTTAGCTATTTTATTATTAATTTGGTCATCATTGTAATATTTCATGTCATTTCATTCATTATTTAGTATTAAGTTTCTTAAAATGTTACCTTTTGTTCATACACCTTTGTTAATAATCACTCCTCAGAAAGGCTGGCCTAATATTCATTTTCCTAATTTATATAATTTCATTAATCTTTCCAATTAATCATTAATAATATTCACTCCATAGCCTATATATTTTTTCTACAAAGCCCATAACCTAATTATTTATTAAACATGTAAGAGAATTGCAATACATCAACATTTTTTATAATATAATTTCAAAATTAGTCCTTAAGGAATCAAAATTTAAGAAGCAGTGAAAGTGATCCATGTGTTCAACAATGAATGATGTGAACATTGAGATTGGAAGAGAAGGAAGCCATTGCAGAAGTGGAAACTGTTAGTTAGAAGAAGGAGTCCAAATTTTATCTAAATCAAATTCATTAATATTATCAAGAAGACCAGTTTATATCAAGTTATATCACAGTAGCCTAAACCTCAAGAGGACTCAACTCCATCATTGTTATCTTCAAAATTAAGTATAACTTTTCTTTTAAACTCTTTTAAATTCAGTGCTAATTGGACTTACCTTTTGGACAACATCAAAATTAGATTTTTCATTGTTGGGATTTGTAAGTTTAACACCGTAATTAGGCCTATTTGGACACTATTAAATTTATTAATTCTTAGCATTCAAGCCAGCACGACACCCTACCCTGAGATATATCACATCTAAATTATTTGAACCTTTAAGTTATTATTCATATTTATCTTTTATTTCATTTTAATTTCAACCCACACACCATTGTCAATCCTTTCATTATAACGTTAAGCCTTTTCTCATTGCATGTTTGTTCATTTGTTTAAATAAAACACCTTTTGTAATTCATAAATCTTGTTAACTTATTAACTTTAAACATTTATAGAATAGGCCTAGCCTAAATTAATATTGTGAGGTGAGTTTACATCATGTTTAATATTTGGTGAAATTATTGCATGATTTTTGTCTTTTTAAGCATCTTCAGAGAATCCTTCACTGAAGATTTCGTCAATGATATCTTTATTTACAATACATTGTGGTGGAAGACTTATCAATGTCTCACAAAGACCTTTATGTAGCTCTCTTGGCCATTCCCTATTCAGATATAAAAAAAAATACTAAAAGATATTCAGCAAATATTGATTCACTTGGATTTGTTCTCATGTTTATAGCACATGAAATATTTTTAAACATTGACCATAAAGGTGATATATTTATTGAATTTTCTACTATTGCACAGTGACTCGCAACAGAGACTATGGTAGCTAATTGCCAGAAATTACCTCCAAAAACCTATCCACAAAAATACTTTGCTTGGCCTTCTCTTCTGGCAATATCTCGCAGTAAGTAAAAAAAGTAAGTAAAAAAGTCTGTTGTGACAGCATCTGTCTGTGCAATAAGAAAAATAATCACACGGTCGCGTAAAATTTCTTTGAATTTCAAAAACCAGCATAGGTAACTTCTCACGATTTATTATGATACCATCTCTGTTGTTAATATGTCGCCGAATCGTAAACACGGGATTGTTTCTTCTAGGTGCAATTTTATGATAATCAAAATTAAAAACTGAAAAACACAACAAATAAAAATATCTATGAAAACACTAAACACACCATATCTGAAAATAAAATACAATCACATAATGAATAGATTGATTTTTACTCCTTTCACTATGAATGACAACTGCATAAATGAACTATCCCATCTCATAAGTTATCATTGTATTAGAAATTAAACTAATAGGTAAACACAAAAAGAAAATATTAAAATGACATAAGGGAAACACGCTATTTTTATGAAGACAGATTTTTTCTTTTAAGAAATTAATCATATGTTAGGTAATCTTATCAAATTTTGACTAATATTTAAAATACATGGAAAACTTTAAAAAAGTCCAATGGAGCAAAGCACGTTGAACTGAGCGTGACAAAAGTTATTCCATGACTTTTACAGAGGATTCCCTTTAATTTGACACCTTAATCATCAAAATCGGTTCATAAATAAAAGAGTTTTGCTGTACACAAGAAATTCCTTACGGAATTAGAATAATAGAAGATTAGTCAACTTAAACAAAATTTCTCTATTGGTCTCACGGCAATATTATTCCTATTTCACTTGGTCTGTAAACAACGTTCTGTTGATTCCTTTTGGTCTGCGGGGGTGATCGGACCGACACAAATGTCCGTCGCTCAGTAGCGAAGGTGTTAACTAAATAATTAGTTATTGAATTTAAGTTTTTGTTTTGATAGTACTTCATTGTTATTTAATATTTTGTAACCATTGTCAAACTGCACAAATGAATAATTCTTGATAGTAATGAGATCTTTAATCTTATCTTGAACTATGATGAGAAAAAGAAACTCGTATCGAACTTAAATTCCAGTCTCGTCCATCACTAGTATATTGTCCATACATAACAAAAGACAGTAGGTGAACACATTGGACAATGGACAATTAGCTTCATCTGATGACGGCTTAATTGAGTCTGTGTGCTTTTTAATTTGTGATTTTCCAACAGTGGTTGGGTTTGTATAGTTTAATCCTGTTATGCATTAGGTTCTTACTCATCAGATGCCAGATTGTGGAACTTTCTGAAACTATTTTTTCTTAGCAAACATGATGGAAAATGTCCTCATGGCAATAATCCTTCATACAACTTACAATCACCAAAAATCAACTTCCAACAATGAAAGAAGTAATTCATAGTTATTCAGTTGATTTTGAAAATCAACTTAAGAGTGTAAAATGGTACATAGAGAACTTTAAAAATGGAAACTTAATAGTGTTTAATGATTGCCAGGGAAGTACCTGAGCTACGGTGAGTCTCCTGTACAGTGGGCAGAGCGGAGATCTGTGGCTTACGCAGGCGGGTCCGTGTGGGGGCTGCTACAACAGGCAGCAGTGGGGGGGTGTGTTGGCGGTTCATGCGGGACTCCACCTCTTGTACCAGCTCGGGACTAATTACTACATGCACACAACAACAAAACAACACTACAGGGCAAACTGTGCTCCCCACCTATAGCTACACAACTTTTAAGGGATTGTCTTTTGAAGGTAAACTACTGATTTAGAGATCAAACTCTAATAACTTTGGTACTGATCAAACAAAAACAACCAGAGTCTGTTGGAAAGTATTATTTTGAGTGGCGAGGTTTCAGTTAATAACTTAAACTTTTTATTGGTTAGTTAAAAAATTCATTGAAAAATCACGGCTAAACACACATAAGAACTGAAAGTTATATGAGGGTTGATTGGAAAGTATCCTCCATTTGGTCACCATTTCTCTAGAGAAGTGCGCAGCTTTCCCCTTACCAAAATGTTGATCCGAAATGTCCTCAGATTTTAAACAGAAAAAAGTATTCGGCTGCAGCTGTTCTTTGGGAATTTTTGCAATGCAATGCAAGACCAAATTTGATGAGCAAAGTATAGTAGATACAATAAATAGAGTTTTAATAGTAAAAAGGGACATAAAACACAGACAGTGGGGGATCCACAGAGGGGCTAACAGGAGCCCTTGGATGTTCAATTTACACTAGATAAAATGGTACTTTTATGATACAGGTTAACTAGGAACACCTGAATACTTCATAGCAAAAGGTTTGAGGTTGTAGATTACAGTATTAACTGCATAACATAATGACAATGACGCCTCAGGATGTAGGCTTGTTTACTAAGCTTTATGTATTTCAAGCCAAGCCAAGCCTGGCTTACAAAGTGAAAGATGGAGCACAAAGTCGAAAACTCGAGCTCAAGCCTAGGACAATGAAAATAATCATTATATTAAGGATTATTATTTTTTAAACATTATTATTTATAGGATTATTTTTATTTATTTCGTTTTGTTAAACTGTCTTCAAATATTTTTACTTTGTTTGTTACTGCCCTTTTAGGTAGTAATTTGAATTTTTTAGCCTATACAACTCGAGTTCGCACCAGAGAAAACTGTCTGGAATCAAACAAATGCACTGGACCTTATATTATAATGGTCACAAAATTAGCTACACAGTATTAATTTTGGAATGTTATCTTTGTTCTTTTATCAACAAGTAAAAGGAGCATTAATTAATGTGTAATATAAATGTTGCATTTCTCTAGAAGAACGACGAATAAGTACCGGTAACCTTAAAATGTACTTTAATGACCAAAGGGTCTGAAATATTTTCAGGGGGATAAGATCCCCCTTTTCGGTCTCCAACACTTTTTTTCTGGGAGGTAAACCCGCCCCCCCAAAACCCCCCCTTGGCTCAATCCTGGATTCGCCTCAGAACACAGAGGAAGTGATATACTACCTCTGGTGATGTGATTTAACATGAAAATGCTCGACAAAAAATAAATAAATTTACCAAATTTAATCGAAATATATCTTTTAAACTACAACAGTTTATTTATTCTCCATTAGGGAAAGGGAAATTTGAGAATTTTTAATTTAAATTTTTTTGGAAGTTTCTTTGTAATTATTGGACATACAACAACACTTATACAGTACAGTATATATTAAATTATTTGTTTTTCAAGCACTAAAAAAAATAATTAATATTGCAAAATGTTATCTTTTGTGGGTCAAGAATGGGGAAAACCAATTTTTACCCCATATAACACTGTTCCCATAGTCCAATCATGGTGGATTGCAAACTCATTTGAATAAATTTAGGTTTAAACGTTTGTTTCAAGTTTCTTCTGTGACTATGAAGAACTGAAAACATATGGTCACCGACTAGCACAAGGCACAGGATTTTAAAGATAACATTTCTAACTATAATAATGGTATAATACCTCGTCAAGTAGTCCAAATGATGATTGAGGTTAGCAACCTACATGTTTCGCCGTAAATACGGCATCGTCAGGGTTACAAAAACGAAGACATCGATGTCACACGCACACAATAAATACACGAATATAAACATTTAATTACGGAAAGTAAACATTTAATTAACATTGATAGGCCTATCACACGCACACGACACGGACGGTCCCGGCGCAGGTAGTAGACTGCAGTGTCAGACTCCTTCCTCGTTGTTGTCCATGTTATCAGTAGGACAAAGGTCAGGTGGCCGGTTATTTTGGTGAATTAGCACATTGAAAATAGAGTGTGACTGGAACTGTAGTTTTTCATTGAGGATATGTCCACTAACGTGTTTAGTTTACTACCTTTACTGCATTTATGTAGCACCTCAAGACCGTCAGCAATCTCACTCATGTTAAGGTTTAGGTCGATTAAATGCTGGGCAAACGCTGAATTCTGTTTGATTAAACGTGGTTTGGGCCTGTGTTCGTTGTAGCGAGTAGCGAACCCACGACCTGTTTGCCCAACATATTGGCTAGGACAATCTTGGCATTTGATTTTGTAAACACCTGTCATTTCCATTTTATCTCTTGATCGGTCAGTTTGTGACAGGGTGTTACGAGTACGGTTTGAAGTTTTGAATGTTAATTTGATTCCCTGCCTACGAAGCTCTTTGGATAGGCAATTTTGTAGTGTGTGGGAATATTCAATACATACGTACTTCTTACGTTCGTCCTTTTGTTTGACCTCTCTATTATGGTGTTTGATTATAATTTTGTCTACAAGCCCGCTATTATAGCCGTTGGATATGGCTATATGTTTGATGATGTTGTGTTCATTATTGTAATTTGTGGGACTTAAAGGGACCGTTAGAAGTCTGTGTACCATTGAGCTGTATGCTGCAATTTTTTTAAATTGTGGATGATAGGTCGCGTGAATGGTCTGAACTGAAAAATTGGGTTTCCTGTAGATTTTATAATCAAATTTATTGTTATATTGTTATATTTATCTTGTTTGATGGCAGTAAAAGGCAGTTGGATCTACTTTTAAATTATCTAAACAAAATAGCCCTGAGACTAAAGTTCACCTTAGAAACAGAAGAAGGAAGACAACGCAATACATTTCCTAGATTTAACCATAACTAAAATTAACCAAGCCAATATGTTGGGCAAACAGGTCGTGGGTTCGCTACTCGCTACAACGAACACAGGCCCAAACCACGTTTAATCAAACAGAATTGAGCGTTTGCCCAGCATTTAATCGACCTAAACCATAACATGAGTGAGATTGCTGACGGTCTTGAGGTGCTACATTAATGCAGGAAAGGTAGTAAACTAAACACGTTAGAGGAATTTGAAATTTACAAATTGTACCATGACAACACCGCCAGTGCACATATCCTCAATGAAAAACTACAGTTCCAGTCACACTCTATTTTCAATGTGCTAATTCACCAAAATAACCGTCCACCTGACCTTTGTCCTACTGATAACATGGACAACAACGAGGAAGGAGTCTGACACTGCAGTCTACTACCTGCGCCGGGACCGTCCGTGTCGTGTGCGTGTGATAGGCCTATCAATATTAATTAAATGTTTATTTTCTGTAATTAAATGTTTACTTTCTGTAATTAAATGTTTATATTCGTGTATTTATTGTGTGCGTGTGACATCGATGTCTTCGTTTTTGTAACCCTGACGATGCCGTATTTACGGCGAAACATGTAGGTTGCTAACCTCAATCATTATTTGGACTACTTGACGAGGTATTGTACCATTATTATAGTCATACAAAGTAATCCAGGGGCCATCAACATGGAATTTAATAACATTTCTAAGCTTGGAAAAATATTTTTTTCTTAGATCTAAGTGCTTACTTAGTTGAAGAATAAAGTAAGGATCTAGTTTGAATATGTAAAAGAGAAATGGTTTTATTTCTATATTTTTTTGTAAATAACTGACCGGAGGTTACTTTCTGAATGGTCCTCGTATATAAAACAAGTAAATTAATTTTAGGATCAAATCCATTTAAAAATAATACTGAGTACATTTTAAAATTTGTTAGCGTTTTATTCTCACACTAACTTTCTCAACTAGGAATTCCTCCATCAATAACCTTTTGTGATATTAAGAGACAGAATTTAGGTATTTAAATAGAAAACAAAATTTTATTTAATCCTTTGTTTTAACAATAAGAAGTTTTTTTTACAATACCAAATGATTAGAAAGAACATGGATTGAACCTGACGCCCGCGACACATGTGGTGTTGCATGTAGTCCAGTAAATAGAGACAAAAATAGGGGGGTTTACTTACAGTCCGGTAAGTCTAAATTTTGTATATGTTGTCTAGGATGGTAATTAGGTGTTTAAAATGAAAAATGCACAATTCTCCCCCCTCCACGCCCGCCGCCATATTGAAAAATAGAAAAAATCTGTACTTTCAAGAGATTTTCGCCTATATCTCCGTTTTAGCGAAAGATATGTAAAGTCAATGTTGTAGACAATTAAATTTCCTATAATATAAGTATAACAATTTGGTTCTAAGACTTATGGATACGAAAATATTTAAATTTTTTTACAATAAAACGTCAAATCTTTTTGTATTTTGCCAAATCTCTATTAGTCCAAGCAAACTAAAAAAACTGACACAGGGAACGTTAAAAAAATGTCAAGAAAACGTTTTATGGTTTTATTTTGTAGTGTTGGGTCTGCAGAGTGACATACTAAAAGTTGCCAAAAATCAGTCCACAGGAAACCTCCTAAAATCTCGATAAAAAATGGCGGCTTTTTCCAACATTGGACAAATTTAAAAAAGATATACCACATGCATATTTTATTCAACATTTTTTTGAGATATTGACTTTGGACGACCACCGATGTTTATTGGGTGGGTAGTACCTCATTTCGATAGGGAACTCATATTTGGCCGCCATCTTGGATCCGCCATATTGGATCTAAATAAAAAATATTAAATGTAATGATAACGTTGTGACACATCATTATAAACTAGATTTTTACGCAGATTTCAATGCTGAAACCAGTTTTTAAATATCTGTTTACGTTTTGAAGATATATTCAAACAAAAACTCTCCCCCATACAAATCTTTTGGACGTTTCGTACTTTGAAAGTTTTTAAAGATCATTTTTCTTATATCTCCAGTTCTTATCAACGCTTGCAGTTCAGTCTAGCCTTTAAATATTCTGTGATGTAAGAGCTTTCATTTGACCTATTGATAATTCAAATCGAACGAGTTAGCAACGAGATACAATCTCCAAAACAATATTTAACTTTTTAGAAATCTTTTTTTATTAAAAGATTTATGTCTCGATTTGGTAATATGTCACCAAGTTCTTTCTGATTTTGAATTACTTAGTAAATGTTTGGCTTTAATTTTATTAATCACTATATAAAATCTGATTAATCTAAAGGGAGTCGTGGACCTTTATTTAACATTAAATTATTTTTATTTAGACATTTTTTCTTTGGTTTAAGTCATATATATATACCCAATTATAAATAACAATCAATAAGTAATCTTTAGCTAAAATAAAAGTCAATACTCTGACGAATTATTTAAGACCATAAAGAGTTTTTGGAGTTATTTATAATTGCGGATATAAGTATTTACTAAAGAAAAATTTCAAAATAAAAATAATTTTATGTTAACTGAAGGCACTTTGTTCATTTTAAATCTGTCAGATTTTATTAAATGATTAATAAAATTAAAGCAAAATAATAAATGAGTAATTTGAGACCACAAAGAACTTGGTGGCGTATTAAAAACGTGAGATATAAATCTTTTAATAAAAAAAGATTTTAAAAAAGTTAAATTTAATATTGTTTTGAGGATTGTATCTCGTTGCTAACTAGTTTGATTTGAATTATCAATAGGTCAAATGAGAGCCCTTACATCACAGAATATTAAAAGGCTAGACTGAACTGCAAGCGTTGATAAGAACTGGAGATATAAGAAAAATGATCTTTAAAAATCTTCAAAGTACGAAACGTCCAAAAGAAATGTATGGGGGAGAGTTTTCGTTTGAATATATCTTCAAGACGTAAACAGATATATAAAAACAGATTTCGGCATTGAAATCAGCGTGAAACTGTAGTTTGTAATGATGTGTCACAACGTTATCATTACATTTAATTTTTTGTTATTTATAGCCAATATGGCGGATCCAAGATGGCGGCCAAAAATGAGTTCCCTATGTAAATGAAGTACTAACCACCCAATAAACTTCGTAGGTCGTCCCAAGTCAATATCTCAAAAATTTTAAATAAATTATGCATGTGGTATATTTTTTCCAAATTTGTCAAATGTTGGGAAAAGCCGCCATTCTTAATCGTGATTTTAGGAGGTTTCCTGTAGACCAATTTTTGGCAACTTTTAGTATGTGACTCTGCAGACCCAACACTACAAAATAAAACCATACAAAATTTCTTGCAATTTTTTTAACGTTCCCTGTGTCAGTTTTTTGGTTTGCTTGGACTAATAGATTTTGGCAAAATATAAAAAAAATTGACGTTTTATTGTAAATATTTTTGTATCCATATGTCTTAGAACCAAATTGTTATACTTATATTATATGAAATTTAATTGTCTACAACATTGACTTTACATATCTTTCGCTAAAACGGAGATATAAGCGAAAATCTCTACAAAGTACAGATTTTTTTGATTTTTCAATATGGCGGCGGATACATATTGTCTTTTTACCATCCTAGACAATATGTAAAAAAATTTGACTTACCGGACCGTTTGTAAGTTAACATACCTATATTCACTGGACTAATGATAACACTAAAAAGGCAAATGGGGAGCACACATCACAAAATTAAATAAATCAAATAAACAAAACGGAAAACATCAAATATCCATGCAGTGGAAAATACTGTGTGGAAAAACATGCTAATAAAATTAATGGATTGTTACTTACCTACATGTAATGTTTAATTCAACTCTAAAATAACATATTTCCAAGGTTATTGCCAAATTTAATTTACAAAAAGTAAACAAACGTTACTTGTTGAAATACTGAGTACCTTACATGAGGGTGTTACAGAACTCCTGAAAAAATATTCACACATTTCTCCTGATTTTTCTGCTTGTGATTAGAGGTTGTAAAAGACCTTTTTACTAGGGGTCTGGGGGCCAACAGTACTAAGGGGATCGGTTTGGGCCAAGCTTGGTTCGAGTCGAGTCAAGTTGATCCAGTCGTATATTTACGAGATGGCTAAAAGTGTTTGCGAAGACCATTAAAAATGATCATTTTAATCGTGATCACGGGTGATGTTCACGGTTTTGCCATTACCGTAGAAGATGTTTTTGTTTTACCATGGCCCCAGACAATGTTCACGAATTTGCAGTGACCACGATATTTTTGACAAAGAGGTTTTTGATCTTGCTGTGACTGTGGAGATGTTCACGATTTCACAGTGACTGCAAAAAAAATTCAGTGACCGTGGAAAGCGTTTACAATCTTTTGTTACTTTGTTTTGTGCTCACAATTTTGCCGTCACAGCATCAAAATATAAAAAAAAACATGTTCAAGGTGTTTTAACAGGTGTGTTTTTGATGTGCTTACATAGCTTCAAGAGCATTTATGTAAACAAATTCAGTATATCACTGAGTGTAAAACCCTCTAAAAAACGTATTAAATTGATATTGATACACATTGGAAAATTGGCATTGAAATCAGGTTTCCTGGTGTAAAACTAACATATTATTCACCGTTTTTTTCAGAATTACCAGTCTTTGGCCACCCTCTTACATATAAAGAGTGATCATTGATCAGGTTCAGATCAGATCATTGATCAGGTTGGAAAAAAGCTTGATGTCGATAAAACAGTACATATTCACCCAACTAGTAACTACTAATGAATTGGGTATTTATTTAGTTTTATTTATGGATAAAAAAAAAAAAAAAATTAGTACAACAATATAGTATAGTTATTGTTAAGTGTTATAGAGACCTGGAGGGCGCTCCATCACTGTAAGCAGACCACTACGCCTTGTCCTGGGCTGTGGTGCTGTGGCGCTCTGAGGCTGTTTACGCTGGGCCTCCTCACTAGTGCCAAGTGTGTGTCTCTGCATACTGCCTCGTCCTTTCATGTACCTACAACAATATAGTATGGTTATTGTTAAGTGTTATAGAGACCTGAAGGGCGCTCCATCACTGTAAGCAGACCACTACGCCTTGTCCTGGGCTGTGGTGCTGTGGCGCTCTGAGGCTGTTTACGCTGGGCCTTCTCACTAGTGCCAAGTGTGTGTCTCTGCATACTGCCTCGTCCTTTCATGTACCTACAACAATATAGTATGGTTATTGTTAAGTGTTATAGAGACCTGAAGGGCGCTCCATCACTGTAAGCAGACCACTACGCCTTGTCCTGGGCTGTGGTGCTGTGGCGCTCTGAGGCTGTTTACGCTGGGCCTTCTCACTAGTGCCAAGTGTGTGTCTCTGCATACTGCCTTGTCCTTTCATGTACCTACAACAATATAGTATGGTTACTGTTAAGTGTTATAAAGACCTGGAGGGCGCTCCATCACTGTAAGCAGACCACTACGCCTTGTCCTGGGCTGTGGTGCTCTGAGGCTGTTTACGCTGGGCCTCCTCACTAGTGCCAAGTGTGTGTCTCTGCATGCTGCCTTGTCCTTTCATGTACCTACAACAATATAGTATGGTTATTGTTAAGTGTTATAGAGACCTGGAGGGCGCTCCATCACTGTAAGCAGACCACTACGCCTTGTCCTGGGCTGTGGTGCTGTGGCGCTCTGAGGCTGTTTACGCTGGGCCTTCTCACTAGTGCCAAGTGTGTGTCTCTGCATGCTGCCTTGTCCTTTCATGTACCTACAACAATATAGTATGGTTATTGTTAAGTGTTATAGAGACCTGGAGGGCGCTCCATCACTGTAAGCAGACCACTACGCCTTGTCCTGGGCTGTGGTGCTGTGGCGCTCTGAGGCTGTTTACACTGGACCTTCTCACTAGTGCCAAGTGTGTGTCTCTGCATACTGCCTTGTCCTTTCATGTACCTACAACAATATAGTATGGTTATTGTTAAGTGTTATAGAGACCTGGAGGGCGCTCCATCACTGTAAGCAGACCACTACGCCTTGTCCTGGGCTGTGGTGCTGTGGCGCTCTGAGGCTGTTTACGCTGGACTTTCTCACTAGTGCCAAGTGTGTGTCTCTGCATACTGCCTTGTCCTTTCATGTACCTACATCAATATAGTATGGTTATTGTTAAGTGTTATAGAGACCTGGAGGGCGCTCCATCACTGTAAGCAGACCACTACGCCTTGTCCTGGGCTGTGGTGCTGTGGCGCTCTGAGGCTGTTTACGCTGGGCCTTCTCACTAATGCCAAGTGTGTGTCTCTGCATACTGCCTTGTCCTTTCATGTACCTACAACAATATAGTATGGTTATTGTTAAGTGTTATAGAGACCTGGAGGGCGCTCCATCACTGTAAGCAGACCACTACGCCTTGTCCTGGGCTGTGGTGCTGTGGCGCTCTGAGGCTGTTTACGCTGGACCTTCTCACTAGTGCCAAGTGTGTGTCTCTGCATACTGCCTTGTCCTTTCATGTACCTACAACAATATAGTATGGTTATTGTTAAGTGTTATAGAGACCTGGAGGGCGCTCCATCACTGTAAGCAGACCACTACGCCTTGTCCTGGGCTGTGGTGCTGTGGCGCTCTGAGGCTGTTTACGCTGGACCTTCTCACTAGTGCCAAGTGTGTGTCTCTGCATACTGCCTTGTCCTTTCATGTACCTACAACAATATAGTATGGTTATTGTTAAGTGTTATAGAGACCTGGAGGGCGCTCCATCACTGTAAGCAGACCTCTACGCCTTGTCCTGGGCTGTGGTGCTGTGGCGCTCTGAGGCTGTTTACGCTGGGCCTTCTCACTAGTGCCAAGTGTGTGTCTCTGCATACTGCCTTGTCCTTTCATGTACCTACAACAATATAGTATGGTTATTGTTAAGTGTTATAGAGACCTGGAGGGCGCTCCATCACTGTAAGCAGACCACTATGTAGAACAATTTCCATATGTTATTAACATTAACTACTACTGTCATCCCTCCTTCACAAGTCAAATTTATTTGGTTTTCTTCTAATCCTTTCCCCTAATCTTACAACAGGAGCTGAGTCATTGTTATGTTCTTCTGACCTGGACAATTGACCTTTATTCACATCATGGGAGATTCTGAATGACTTGCCTCTTCTTAGGAACCATGAGTTTCTTTGATATTCTCGTCCATCACCAGTCTGGATTTTGTGCGATCGTGGTTCAGGACCAACTTGAACAATCTTTGCTCCCAGCCAACACTTTGGTTTGAATCTGAAAAGCACTGGTTCATCGAGTTTAAACTGATCAGGTTCTGTCTTCCTCGTATCACCATATAGCTTCTCTCGCCTTTTAATTTTTTCTAGCTGTTTTGAAACATATGTAACATGTTGAGGAAAGCAATAGAATCAGGTGAGTGGACGGACTTAAAGAATACAGAATTTTTCAGAGAACGAGGGAATTTGTCTTTTGTTAATGGACTGATTTTAAAAGGATTAAGGATATTTATTCCAAAACCTTTAAGAAATGAGATTTTATCCCAGATACATAGTGGACATCTAGGAGTAAATAAGTGTCTGGCTTGTTCAAGGGACACAGTTTGGTGGCCTGGACTATCGGTGGATATAAAGAGAATGGTTGAGAACTGCTCTAGTTGCTTGGAGAATTGGGTTAATCCTGCCGAACCATTGATCACGTCTGTGGTTCCTAATCAACCCTGGGAAGTTGTTGGGACAGATTTATTCGTGTTTAATCAAAAAGTATATATTTGCATGCAAGACTATTTTTAAAAATATATTGAATTGTTGTCATTAGCCAGTATAAATACGGTTGCTATAAAACAAGCTTATTTGTCAATATTTTCCAGACATGGGATTCCACGTGTTGTAAGGTCTGATAATGGAACTGCTTTAGTCTCTTCAGATATGAGAGCGTTTGCAAAAGAATTGGGATTCGCTATAGAGACCTCAAGCCCTCACTTCCCTCAGTCTAATGGGCAAGCTGAGAGAGCGGTTGAGACATGTAAAGGGATATTAAAGAGAAATAAAGATCCATATCTTGGTCTTTTAGCACATCGCTCTTCTCCTCTTGCATGTGGAGTATCGCCTGCAGAATTGATTTTTGGACGGAAAATATGCACAACTCTTCCGTCAGTTCCAGAGCAGCTTCAACCTCGTTGGCCTGATCTAGATCAGTATCGAAATGACCAAGAAAAACTGAATCAAAAGAACAAAATTTACTATGATCGTAGGCACAGAGCTAGGAATCTCGACATATTGGAAAAGGGGGTTAATGTATGGATAACTAATTTGAAGCGGTACGGGACTATAGTAGATAGAGGTTCCAATGATAGAGAATACATGGTGAAGTCGAATGGAAATTGTTTAAGAAGAAACAGGAGGTTTCTTATCCCGACATGTAAACAATCATATATCAACATGTATGATTCATGGGATCGTTACCCGGATGAAGGAGCCCCTAATATTTGTCAAGAGAGAGAAGATAGCCTTAGCAACGGGAAAGAGAGCGAAAATACAGAAACTTCTAATGGAAAGAAAGAAGAAAATAGATTGGAATGGGAAAGAGGCAGAAAAGTTAATGGACGGTATTTCACTAGGACTGGAAGAGAAGTTAAACCTACATTGCGGTATCAATGTTAACATTTTATCATGGGAGAGAGGATGTAATGGAATGACATGTGATTTAGTAATTATTTGTATGTTTTCTCATATGACTATGGTTACCAGGGGTTACTATATTGTTGACTTGTTTTGAAGTGAGTTGTTAAGTTAGTTGAATGTTGAAATAAAGTTCTTAGAAGAATTCGTTTTATTCTATCTTTACACATATATTTACGTTTATACTGTTACTCACAAGACGGTAAATATACAAAAAAGATGGTGATCGATTTTGATTGGACACTCCAATCATCATCAGACCCAATAGGCGAATGACAAGAATCTTAATGGCTTTTACTTATTGGCTACCGGAAGCACCGGCCAGTACATTTTTATAAGTACAACTGGAATCAAAATGTATTTGTTCATTAATCCACTTATTTCTATTTTTACATTTTTCCTTATAAATATACAATTCTTCCCAAGCATTCATTATGTATCCTTTCTTACAATTCTTTAAAATATCTAGACTATCCTCCATTTTTCCTAGTGAGTGGCCATTTTGTAACAGGTGTTGTGCGACATTTGATCTTTCTGGTTTGTTGTTCCTCCACGCAGATATGTGGTTTTTGAAGCGGTTAACGAAGTTCACAGTCTGTCCAATGTAGAAGCTATCACAATCGTTACAATTGATTTTATAGATGCCCGAGGCGTTGAATTTGTTGAAATCTTCTATTTTCGGATGCAGTATTTTACTCATGGTGTTCTGAGTCCTGTAGGCTATTGAAACTCCGTATTTCTTGAATTTGTTAGCAGTCCTTTGTGTTGTAGTCCCCGTGTAGCTAAATGTTATATATCTGGTGTTTTCCTCTTTTATTTCTTCTAATGTTGTTCTGCTGTGTAGTGTATTCTGCCTATCGATTTTCCTCCTCGTCTTCCTTGCGATGTCCTCTATCGTCTTGGTTCGAAATCCATTAACTTGAGCGATCTTCTTAATGGTGTCTAGTTCTTTCTTCCTATTGGCTTGGCTAAGTGGGATCTTACAGGCTCGGTACAGCATAGATCTAAAGGCTGCGGTCTTGTGGATTGTCGGATGGATAGACTTGCTGTTGATTGTAGTGTCCGTTTGCGTAGGTTTCCTGTAGATGTCAAACTCTATCTTGCTGTCTTTTCTCTCTAATGTGAGGTCCAGGAAGTTGATCTTTTTGTTTTCTTCAAACTCGTTGGTAAAGGTGAGGTTCGAGTGGTGGCTGTTTAGTGTCTGCATCATTGTTTCGTGCTCTTGCTCCTGGGCTTGTCTGAAGATAACGAGAATGTCGTCTACATATCTAACATACAGTTTTACATCATGATTCTTTCTTAAATTCTTTAACATTTCTTTTTCCTGATGCTTTAAAAATATTTCTGACAAAATTGCCGAAAGTGGACTTCCCATAGCTAAACCATATATTTGTTCGTAAAATCTATTGTTAAACCTAAAATAATTTTGTTTCAAAACATTCACAAGCAATTTTACAATCTGATTGACATATTCATCGTCTAAACTATTCTGTAAAAGCCTACATTTAACAAGATCTACAGTTTCAGATACAGGTATGTTGGTGTACAGATTTGTGATATCAAATTAAACTAGCCTACTATTCAAATCTATATCTATGTTCTTTAAACGTTCAACAAATTCATAACTATTCTTTACATTGTATACATATTCTAATTCTAAATCATTGCTGAGCTTACTTGCTAACAATTTTGAAACATTGTAGGTAGGAGCACATTTAAAGTCAACTAAGGGTCTGATGGGTACATTCTTCTTGTGTATTTTTGGGATCCCTTTCATCACGGGCGCTTTAGAATTTAGGATGTTCATCTTCTGTCGGCATTCTTCGGGAATCACTCTAGTGCATCTCTTCACGACTTCGGACAGCTCTTTTTGGTACCTCTGCGTTGGATCCTTTTTCAGCTCTTTGAAGTTATTTTCATTGATGAAATCTTCCGTCTCCTTTACATATTCTTCTTTTACGAGCACTACGATGGCGTTGCTTTTTTCTGCTTTCACAATGATTGAGCTATTCTCTTCAAGTTTCTTCTTTATTTTGTTGCACGTCTTAAGTTCTTCATTTCTGCTGGGATCTATGGGTCCTTGGCTGGTGAAATCGTTGGCTGTCACTTCCTTCGAACGGCATAATGGTCTACGTCTCTGAGTGATTTTACATTTGCTTCAACTTCAGTAGCTAGTAGTTCGTTTTCGTCCTTCTTCTTCATTGCGAAATTGTACTTCATTCCGTAGTTCAGTATTTTCGTTTCTTCTTCACTGAATTGAATGTCTGTAAGGTTGATGACTCTCTTCTGGAATTTGTGTTCTGTACCGGTCCTATCCAAGTCTTCATTGGGTGTATTCTTCTCTACGAGTTTGTCTAATTTGTCGTTTATCCGTAAATATTTCCGGTTCATGGCGTCTCCAACCTCTTCACTGACGACTTCGTGTAGTAAATTCCATGCGATTAGTCCGTATAATCTCAAAAATTGTAGGTGGATGTCGTAGGCAATCCGGTTCAGTTCTTCTTTTTCACAGTAAAGTTGTTTGATCATATTTTGGATGAATAATACCTCTCCTTGTTCCTTGGTTCTTTTAGCGGCAGTGTGTACTGTTTTTATAGTTGTACTTATAAAAATGTACTGGCCGGTGCTTCCAGTAGCCAATAGGGTATAAGTAGGGACGCCATTAAGATTCTTGTCATTCGCCTATTGGGTCTGATGATGATTGGAGTGTCCAATCAAAATCGATCACCACTTACCATCTTTTTTGTATATTTACCGTCTTGTGAGTAACAGTATAAGCGTAAATATATGTTTTAAGTGTTATAAGACGTTTCTTTTATTTACTTTCCGTAACTTTGTAATTTACACTTACTTCGTATCTCTTTTAATTTTTGTGTAAATATTCCCATCATATCAAATGCATGTTATTTGGGTTTAACACTAAAGGCCCCATTTAATTTAGGGCTAAACCTAAAAGATATATATTTTTACGTTATTCCTTGGGGTCGATTTAGCGGGAAATAGTTTTATTGAATCCTTGTACGTAAAGCCGTTTTTCCATTATGAATTTGAGACACCTTACGACACCTTACAACACCCTGTGGGACACCCTGTATTTATGTTACTAGTCCTAAAAATACCACATGAGTCCGGTAAACACATTTTGGGAGTGTGACATACAATATTTTACGCCATAATACTCTACGCTAACTTAACAATAAAATACCCCCCCCCCCCACAAACCTGCCGACTAAGTGAATTTCCATTTGTCTGAATTGATTTTCAATTAAATCTACAAATAACATTAGGTTTAACGAGTTTGCAATACCTAGGTTTGCTGTTACAAGGAAATAAAATAGTAAAATATTAATAGTTTGGTATAAAATAAATATATATAAATATATACGAATAAAGTTTGATCAAAATATATCCATAAACAAACAAACTACAACATTTTACAATATTCTCCATAAGAATAAAATGGTAGTTTTAAATTTAGTTTTTTGAATTTTCTCCGTTACCAATTACCATACAAAAACACTTTGATATACTAATTTTTTTTTTTTTTTTTACAGGTCTAGAGAGTAACTTGGAAATTTTGTGTTTTGAGGATCAAAAATGAGAAAAACCATTTTTTAACCCATAAAATCCCCTGTAAAACCCCGTTCCCATGGTCGGATAATGCTGGTTCGCGAACTTATTCAAGTTTATTACCCCTTACACCTTTAAACTAAATTTCATCAAAATCGGACAAAAATTACTCAAGTTATCGTTCACGGATGTATATCTTACTAATATTATAAATGTGAAAGTTTGTGTGTTTGAAGTTCAATCACGCATAAACCACTGGACGGAATGGGCTGTAATTTGGCATGATGATAGCTTACATTCCCGATTAACATATAGGCATATTCTTATCTCAAAAGTCCTTTCGGGCTCCGCCCCAGTGGCTCTGTAATTCCCCATGTTAACCTTATGAGTATTCATTTAAAGGGAATTAAAGAATTTAGTCAGCTGTTTCAACTAAAAAAGTTGGTTCTATGATATGGAAAAGCATTAAAAAGTTATAAGATTTACCAACAGGGTGCAGCACTATATTTTTCTCTATTGTTTAGGTGAAGTGGTAGAACATTATGGCTATGGTAGATGTGTAATACTATAGAATACTGTGTAAATAAAAAAAAAAACAAATTTTATCGAACTGTGTCCTCCCTTATTGCAAACACAAAGCTTGATTATAACTGCAATAAACATTTTATACTTATATTCCAACCCCGTACGGGTACTCTGCTAGTATATATATATATTTATTTTAATTGAATGAACAAAGTGAATTCTCATACTGGTGCGAGATGCATCTTTCTGTTGCCGCACAAACTTGCGCCGCATGGGCAGGGTGAGGGGCCAAAGACAGATTATATGTACATGGAATTGTCTTCGTTCATTCTCATATGCGACTTCGGAGCGTACTCCTACTAAATATATATACATATATACAAATTTGAACAAATAGTGTTTTTGGCCTCCGGGGACATCAAATTGAAAAAGTAAATCGGTCCCAGGCCTAGGTCTTACCATGCCACCTACGGTAATAGCTACTTCCCTATAGGGAAATTCGCTCATATCTGTACTAATCCTTATAAATTACCAACGACTAAAAGACTAACATCCTTGCATGGGAAGTTCGTTAAAAACAGTTTGGTGTGGCGTAAACAATTTGTTCATCTACCTCTTGGGTCTCCTTTATTAGATCCCTGAGAACTAGGTAAATTTGGAAAGTACTTACATATCAACATCATATACATCTGGTAACATCTCCTCCACATTTCCATCTGATGAGTCCGAGGAACACTGCATCTGGCCCACATCTCCACAGCCTGTGATAGGCTGCGACCTTTGTGACAGAGCCGGACTGCCAGGCTGCAACTGCAAACAAACACAATGTGTCACAATTAAGTTGTTTGTAGCAGATTGAGCCCTTGCTAATTTAAGGGGGGGGGGGTATAAGTAGTGATGTGCTGCGGGCAAATGTCCTGCCCACTGGGCATTTATGAAATTGAGTGTTTTAGCGAATTTCCCTATAGGGAAGTAGCTATTACCGTAGGTCTCATGGTAAGACTTAGGCCCGGGACCGATTTACTTTTTCATTTTGATGTCCCCAGAGGCCAAAAACACCATTCGTTCAAATTTTTATATATGTATATATATATATATATATATAGATTTATATATATATGTGTCCGTGAACACGATAACTTGAGTAATTTTTATCCGATTTTGATGAAATTTGGTTTGAAGGTGTAAGGCGGGATAAACTTGAATGAGTTCGCGATCCAGCATGATCGGACCATGGGAACAGGATTTTATGGGGGGTTTTATGGGGTAAAAATTGGTTTTTCTCACTTTTGACCCTCAAAACACAAAATTTTCCAATTTTTCTCTAAACCTTCTTAAAGAGCTTAAAAAAACAAACAATTCAGTATATCAAATTGTTTTTGTACGGTTATTGGTTACGGAGAAAACTAAAAAAAAATTAAATTTAAAATTCCCATGTTATTCTTATGGAGAATATTGTAAAATGTTGTAGTTTGCTTGTTTATGGATATCTTTTGATCACACTTGGCAAATATATTCATTTCATACTAAGCAATAATTATTTTACTTAAAACACACACTTTATAAGTTTCCTTGTAGCAGCAAACCTAGGTACTCGTTAAATCTAATGTTATTTATTAACTGGGACGGGTGGCGTCGTCCTGTAATCCAGCTACTAGGAGGTCACGAATTGTGGATATTTATAGGCATGCACTGTGGATGCGATACTCACTGGTGTGGATTAACGTCCGCACGAGTGAGTACTACGACTATCCGCAGTACTATCCTGATAATTAGACCAATTCGTATATACCAAGGAAAAATGTGGTTCGGATTCCACTATAAACTGTAGGTCCCTTAGTTGCCATTAGCTGTATGGGCTATTAATTAACAGCTGTGTCTAAGAAATGTCGGCCTTAGTCACTAACAAGACTACAAGATCGCGCCACTCATCCTACACTCATCTCCATTCATACTTGGCTTAAAATACCTACTATGTATGGTCTCCATTTCATTGAACAGTATTAACAGTATTTAAATAGATCAATTGAAAATCAATTCAGCCAAATGGAAATTCGCTTAGACGGCAGGTTTGCTGCGGCGGGGGTATTTTGTGCTTTCGATTGTTTTAAATTACAAAATAATGTTTAATTTAACGTTTTAATAATATTTGAAGGGGTTTACTGTAAAATATAACTGTTTATCCTAACTCTTAATTTGTCCAAGGCAGTTATAAATGCCAAAACCTTGGGCATAATTATATTCATGATATTCAGTGTTTTGTGCTCTTGATTTTTTTTAAATACAAATAATGTTTAATTTAACATTTAATTTATACTAGTGTTACTACCTGTTGCTCGAATTTGAGCAATTTTCAAAGTATTATAGGCGTTATTTTAAAACGAATAACAGTAATAATTTCTGATGACTTTAAAACAGTCAACTCAAAGATTATGGAAATACTCACTGTTCAAAATGAATAGTTGAAATTATTTAGCTAATAAAACTCGTGTTCTTTTCATTACATTTATTTTGAAACCAATAATCCAGCTGATCAATATTAATATTAAATTATACCAAATCATTGTTCCAATGCTTACTAAATCTGCATTCAGCCCACTATAACACACTATAATAAAAAAACTATCTAACATTTCTCCCAGTGGGGTTTCTCAGGTCATCAGCTTTGTAACGAGTTATTTTTCCTAGGGGGGTAAATATTTGCTATTTGACCGCGCACCTATTGCTGGCATCAGCAAGCGGCGGCGGCGAAGCTAGCGAGCGCCCTTTGACCCGGCTTATCAGTGCCGATAAGCCTGGGATATCCTAGTTTCTCAGGACAGTCTAGGACAGGGACATTCTAGTCGTGGATCCCGTGCAGTGAAGAGCGAGCGTTTGTCGAGTGAGACGTGGAGTGTTTTGGTGACATCGGTGTCGTGTGAGATTGGTGCTCAAGGAGTGAGTGTCGGCATTCAAGTTGGGTAGTGAGACAGTGACCCACTTGTGGTGAGTGGACGACGTTTTATTATATTTTGGTTTAAGAGAGTTAGAGAGTTAGAGTTGTAACCGTGCTGGTCAAAGCCGGTAGATTTATTTACAGGTGTCAGGAATAAAAGTATATTCCTGACGGTTCTGGGCAGGTGCTAGAGTGCAAATAATATAATTTATTGACTGTAGTAGATATTATTTTGCGTTGTACCAAGAGTTAGTTATATTACTAATAACTCTGAGGCCCGACAAACCTAGGCTGCACGATTTAGCGTGCGTAGTTGGAAACACGTGGCCAGTAGGCTAGTAGCTAATATTATTAGCCTATTAACAGAAGCCCAGCTAAGTAACATAAAGTTGGTAGTAGCAGTAGCAGTAGTAGGGTTGTTATTGTTTATTCATTTGATTATTTTAATTTAACCTGAACAGCTTGTTTGGTAGTCCAACACGTTATCTCGGTAGCTTGGGTAGCGGAGTACCGGCTATCAGATAATATATTTATCTAGTGTTTGGAAAGTATTTAATATTTATTTATCTGCTACTAAGTAGCTCAATATTTTAATAGTGTAATTGCCATTTAATTTTGCTTGTTTGGCTTGGTATTTATTGAGACCAGCTACTAGTGGTGTAGTCACTCTACCTATAGTGTACTTGTATATTATTATGTGGTACGATTATTGAGTGAACTGTTTGATTCTTAGCTTGGGCATTAGAGTTGTGTATTGGATTATAGTGTCCTAGTAGACCCCGCCTGGTGATAACACGCGTTGTGGTTTTTATTGGCAAGTCGTCGTATAACTCACCGTGTTTTAGGCACTCTGGGCTTAACTATTGGATAGTTAGGACGAAGCCCGAGTTGCGTAGTCAGCAACGACCCCCTAGGAGTGTGGAGAATCGGCGTAGGCCTGGTAGTGATTATTGCACGTTTGTTTTGGTGACTTGTTTTTGACTTGTTCACAGTGCCCGTGTATGAGCCAGTCCTATACCGGTTAGACCCGGCTTTTGGCCTAGTGGTTTCCCTGACCTTATCGCAGACCCTGGAACTTTACCCAGCCATTGTAGGCTGAGCTATCCCCGGCAATCGTTTGCGATTGCGACTGCACTTTTAATATTTTTTTTCCAGTGCAGAAAATCTTGTCGCAGCTTCACCAGTTTGGTTACAGGTCTCCTCCAGACACCGGTGGCTGTTCGAACATCCGCTACTCTAACTTGGCCATCTCGCCCAGAGTGTACCGCCTCCACCTTGCCCTTAGCCCAATGTCCTCTGGCTTGGTTTTCATCAGTTATAAGGACCAAGTTACCGACTAGCAGATTTACTTGTTTTGTGTGCCACTTGGAGCGTTTGTTTAGTAAAGGCACATATTCTTTCAGCCAACGTTTCCAGAATTTGTCTGCCATGTCGTGTGCGATCTTCCATTGTCTATGCAGGTGCTTCTCCGTTATAATGACAGCTGGTGTGACTCTATCTGCTCCTCCCTGGAGAAAGTGGTTTGGTGTCAAAGGGAGCTCATCATTAGGGTCGTCTGATACAGGAAATAAGGGTCTGTTGTTGATTATGTATTCTACTTCACATAATAGAGTAGTCAACGTTTCTTCTTTAGGAGCTTGGGTGTTTAAAATCACTCTTAAACATTTCTTCACCGATTGTATAAGACGTTCTTGCGCACCACCCATGTGAGGGCTCGCCGGCGGTAGAAAAGTCCACTTCATCATCTTCCCCACGCAGAACGTTTCAATTTGTTCGTTATCAAACGACTCAAGTCTTTTTCTTAATTCGTTCTCTGCGCCCTTAAAGTTGGTACCATTGTCTGATATCAATTCCGAAGGACAACCCCGTCTTGCTGCGAATCTCCTGATCGCAAGAATTGACGAGTCTGTATTGAGAGAAGTTGCAATCTCCAAGTGTACCGCTCGCACTGACAGACATGTGAATAACACTCCATATCGCTTTTCTCTTCTGCGACCTATAGTGACTTCCAGAGGCCCAAAATAATCCACAGCCACACAGGTGAATGGACGTCCATAAGGTTCTAATCTGTTTGCCGGAAGAGGAGCCATCTCAGGATTTTTAAGTGTGTTTCTACGCAGCTGACACTTCTTACAATTTGCCCAACAGCTCTTAATTGCTCGCTTCAAACGGATTACCCAAAATCGTTGTCTCATATTATTTGCCACAGTTTCTTAACCCTGATGAGCTGCCTGTTCATGTTCATGTTGGATCAATAGGACTGTAAGTCGATAATTAGGATCTAAAATTATGGGATTTTTCAGGTCTTGACTGATTTGGTTCCCATTTTCAGTCCTTCCTCTCATTTTCAATAAGTTCCCTGTCAAAATAGGGCTTAGCTTATGAAGTCGACTTTCTCGAGGAACTGGCTTGTTCTCCTCAAGATTCTTCATTTCTTTGGGAAAAGATTTTAGTTGTGAAAGTCTGAAGCAGGTTTCTTCAGCTCGTTGAAGCTCTTCAACACCAAGACTCACATTTGTATTTCTCTCAGATTTACATCTCGTATTGGAAATGAATTGTTGCATCCATACTACTGCTCTTATGAGTCTGGAGTATTTTGAAAATCTCTCCATATCGATAACATTTTCTTTGTTTTCAGGTAAAATTGCTAAGGCTACTTCATTGCAGTCTTCTTTTCTCGAAATGCTTTCCATTTTTGGCCATTCTTTTTCTTTTTTAAGTAAGAAGGCTGGACCTTGGAGCCAACGGCAAACGTTCGTTAATGGAGTTGACGATTCCCGTGTAGCTTCATCAGCTACATTTTCTGTCGTAGGTAACCACCTCCATTGATTTCTGTCTGAGTTGCTCAGTATTTTATCAACACGATTAGCAACGT